CCAATGGGCCCTCATGCTCTCCCGTCCGAATACATTTGTCCCACATCACCTCCACAACCTCAATCCCATCATAATAGAGAGTGGCTACACATTCACACAAGGGGTTAAGTAGGGCGTACTGTAAGTACAGGGGCACATTTGCATGATCCAACCCACGCCTGACATTGGCCACCGTGCACTTTTAACTTAGTAATCCCTGGAATCTTGGACATAAAAGAGATAAGGATCTGACGCCACGACTGCGCATAAGAAGTCATGAGCTTGATGATTTTATCCACCAACTTCTGGATCGATCTGAGAGCACACCACGGCAAACTCCTGAGAATCTCGCACGGTATCCCATCTGGCCCAGTAGCCCTCTGGGTCTTCAGCCGAGCCCGTGCTCTGAGAAGCAGTGCCATACTAATTCCTACAACTGATGTGGATCGTACCTCATGTTCGGCCCTCATCCTGATCTCCTCCATCATAGTGTTAGTGGAATTGCGTACCTTCTCGGACGACACCTTGAAACGAACGAACTTGTCGAGCTCCTTCTTGAACTCCTCACGGTCCTCCGTCTCCCTTTTATCCACCACTAAATGTTTGATAGTCTATCTGACCTGTCGTTTTGTTGGGGGACATCTGCACATAATCATATCACGTCGATAACTCCTGCGTGGACCATTTGCCTCATTCTTTAACCTCCTCAACCTCTCCACCACCTCCTTCGGACATATCTTAAGGTCCTCCTCGGCCCTAGCGAGCTGCACCGGCCTGGACGGCTCCTTTGGGCTGCCCGCCCTCGTGTTGGAGAAGTCCACCGCAGGCGACACGTGCGCCTCCAGCATAGTACTCTGCAAGCACTCTGGACTGAGCACAGACGGACACCCCGAACGAGCGAAGGCCGCACCGCCTAGATTCATATCCACATGCTGCCGAGCCTGATGCTCATCAGCCGAAGTGGATCACTTGTATCCGACCAGGGACAGCCTAAAACTTTGACCAGGCTGGGGGTCAGGGCGACGAACAATCACTTTCCCAGGGTCCGTGAAACTCGCCGTGATGATAGCGTGATCTGATAATCTACTGACCTGCTTCTTACCACCCCTCTTGAAACACCATTTCACCTCCAGATCCGAGAACTCCCAACGATAAGGGACAAGTAGGTAATCCAGGACCCTCTTCGAAGTCAGGAACTTGTTCTCCCTCCACGACTCCCAAGTATGCCTCCTAGTATTGAAAGTGTTGGCGGCCTTCAGTCCATGCAATTCCATGAACTCTAAGAGCAGCTCCTTCAGCCTCCTCCTCCGATTCCTCCTCTCAATCTGCTGTGTACCGTCTCCTCCTCTCTCCCACCTTCTTTCCATGCGAGTGCCCTCCTCTCCAGTAGCCTCATACACTTCCCCATTATACGTAAATTTGCATCCAGGCGGAATCTGCACATCTGCATCGAGCAGAACACAAAAGCTGGCCTGAGGAAACTTAGTGCGGAGTACATTACGAGCGCGAGTGATCTGCTCATAGACCTCCGCAGCTATCTCTTCACACTCCTCCACATGAGGGTCTGGCAAATACGCTGAAACAATAATAAGTGGTGACTTTTCTGACCCAAAGACGCCGCTAACAAACCTCGTGAAACATGTAAAGAACCATACGGACAGCAGCCGCCCAAGATCTGTCGAAGATGAGAGCTGCTTTACTACACGAACTAGTTTTGATGCGCCACCCCAAGCGTTCAAATTCACCATGCACAAGGTATTGAGTTTCCTGACATGCAAAGAGCCCACCACATGCCCTCATATGATGGAGAAACTCAGCACATTTAAAATGAGCCTCACCTGCTTTGTTCAGGTTCCAGCTCCCCAAACGTATGCCTCGGATGAGGCATCGTGAACGTCACTGCCTACGATTCACCTCCTGAAGTATCTCATTCATGGGGACCGTCAGCGCAGGATATATAGATACAATACGAGCCCATGCATCAGCATGCAGAACCCAAGCCCCAGTAGCGTTCGTATATGTCGCAAAACAAACGGGTCTGAGATTCGGAACAGCTTGAGTCCAAATCTGACTCCTCGGTGGCCCCATCTCCCCACGGATCTCGATTTGAACATGAGCCGATGTCATACTACGCCAAGTCGCACAGAAACGAGCAACCGCTTTCACATGATCACGCTTCCAGGGAGGACACTCCACCAGCGTACAAATCTTTTTGGGATCAATAGGCGTGTCCATATTTTGAATGAGAACATCAGCATCTGGATATGTATAGCCTGGAGGCGGAGCAAGACGATCGGCTGGGTCCTTACAGACCATATCCGTCCATTTCTTAATTCTCCAGAGGGTGTCCCGTGATGTCCCTTCTTTGAAACCGATCTTCACGCTTCCGTACATATATCTACCTCCGTTTAATCGTTCAGTTTTGTCATTGTCATATGCATTCCTCTCCTCCCCCTGAAGTGTTCCTATCATTTTCGATATCAGTTGTGATGCATCCGCCCAGGGTATCATTTGATTTCCCCGTCTTTCTTGGTTCGACCAATCCGTAACCCGCCCTTTGAGTTCAAGATAAGTTGGCGTAAACTGGCTCGGTCGCTCTTGTTGCACACGAGGGGCCGAACCTACACCACCACCAGAGGACCCACCAGGGCCCACACTTGTCGAAACCGATGCGGCAGGAGATCCAGCCAATATTTGTTTAACCTGTTTCTCCAGGGTATCTGTCCGTGCATCTGATTTGTCCATGCGCTCCGTATGCAACTTAAGTGTGTCATCAACTCGTTTAATGTCCGTCTTAGTCGATTGAACAACATGTATAAGATCCTCATGTGCGTCCTCAGTTTTCCAAACGTGCTTCATCATCATTTGTTTGAAAGGATTCTTCTCCTGTGCTAACATCAAATTCCTCTCCTGCTCAATCTCTGGGCCACGTGCACGTTTCGATCGAATCCCACTCTCTCCCGTCATTTCGGCATCCGCCGCTGCAGCAACATGAGTCATATTCTCAATAATGTTACCGTCCAAACCGTATTTATCTAACCAATTCTTGTCGTCCTCACGTTGACGCTTGTTTGATGCTCCCTCAAGTGCCTGCAAGTCTTTCTGATCCCAAGGTTGGTATTCTTCAAGATAATCAAAGTTGACCCTATCGTCCTGATAATCCTCAGTGGGTATGTTCAGATTCTTTTGACGACGAAACCACTCCTCCGTACTTTCACCCCAATGTTCAAGACCGATCTCTCTCCTCAAAGCCAGCTGGGCCTCAGGGCTGTCGTACGACGTTGTTTCAACAACAATCCAGCACACAAGAAACTGCCACAATATGATTAAGAATAAGAACTCTTACAACAGACAGAGAAGCATAACGCTTGCAACTCTCTTCAATAAGAAGAATAACTCTTGCAATACACAGAGAGGTGATGTATGCAGACAGACAATAGACAACAGTGCAGCACACAAGAAACTATCTCAATACCACGAAGAAGAATTCAGCGTACAATACACGAGATGTAATGTAAGCCGACAAAAACCTCGGGGGATCCCAGGATCGTCCAGGCCTCGCGGCCCTTCGTCCAGTCTCACTCCCCGAGGCGAAGGCCCGCTAAAACGTCTGGAGGTTGCCCAGGCAGAGACGTTCTTGTGCCGAGTCCCAGAGGGCTACTGTGCCAGACGGGATACCGTGCGGGATTCTCAGGAGTTTGCCGTGGTGTGCTCTCAGATCGATTCAGAAGTTGTTCGATAAAATCATCAAGCTCATGACTCCTTATCCGCAGTCGTGGCGTCAGATCCTTATCTCTTTTAGGCCCAAGATTCCAGGGATTACTAAGTTAAAAGACGGTTGTTTGCTGTGTATGCAGAATGCTGCGTCGAGATGGTTCAGTTCCTGTATTGTGCTCCTGGTTGAGGGCCATGTTGAAAGAAACGGGGTTTTTCGTCATATGGGGTTGTGTGGGTTCCAGGAACATCGTCGTACGCACGAAATCACGGCTAGCATCAAACATATAGGTCAACATGCTGCGCACTGGGGAAAAGGGGAAACGGCACACTTGGCGAACGCTGATGTCCTCCAGGCGTTCGATCACTGCACGGTGGCCAATGTCAGGCGTGGGTTGGATCATGCAAATGTGCCCCTGTACTTACAGTATGCCCTACTTAACCCCTTGTGTGAATGTGTAGGCACTGTCTATTATGATGGGATTGAGGTTTTGGAGGTGATGTGGGGCAAATGTATTCGAACGGGAGGGCCTGAGGGCCCATTGGCCTTCAATCTTATTGTTGCCGCTATGTGGAGTTCCACGATTCGAGAATGGGACGTGCTAGGGCTAGGTTATCGTATTGAGTTTACTACAGGCTCAACTAGCTGTGTTTCGTTTATGAATCACTTCCTCTGGGCGGACAACTGCTATGTTCTGGCTCGGAGTCGGGAGGAACTCGCGCGCATGTTACACGGTCTAACTACACACTTACATGACTATGGTATGAGATGGAAGGAGTCCAGTCTATTGTACATGGTGTTCGGTGCTGCTCCTCCGCGTGATGCGGAAGGGGAAATATTACGAACTGCTGATCTTGTTCTCTCGATTGGGTCGGAGGATTCGGGAATGTGTCGATTTAGAAGAGTGACGGAGATGGAGGTGCTTGGGGCTCATATGTGTTCTGAACTACATGTAAATGAGCATCCATATCTGGATGCTAGTATTGACTCTGCTCGTAGGGCGTTCTGGGGCCAGGCGTCCTTCTTCCGCTCCACGGCCATTCCGCTGAAAGATAAGTATGAGAGGTATGCACAGAGGTCTCAGAGTATTGTTCTCTACGCGGCGGAAAAATGTACGGTCGACTGTAGCTCATTGGGTGCCCTTCATATCTTTGAGGGTAAGTGCCTGGCTGTCATGTCTCGTTGTGCACGGAGGGAGGAGGAAAGTTATCAGGAGTGGAATGCGAGGAGGTATGAACGTGCGAGACAGAAGTTTCATGATTGACATTATGTGGGTATTGAACAGAAGTTTCTCAGAGTGCACTGGATGTGGGCAATCGACGTCCACGATTTTCCCCAGAGGCTGATCACAGATCAGGAGGCGCTGGAGGCGAACTCGACAAGAGCTTGGAGATATTCTCGTTTCTCATGCCTGGCGTTTGGCTGGCTGTGGGATAGAACGAGGACATATTCAAGCGAGGCTCTCAGATGTTGGGGGGGATGGAAGGAGGCTAGCTCACTGAAGCGACATCGTGGGGGACAGGAGAGTGTAGGACTTCGTTCTTGGTATTATTATTTGGAATCGTTTTATGGTTTATCCTGGCGGGGGTTCTTTGTTGGGAGCTTTGAACATTTCATGGATTTCGCTGCGCGCGTTTGTTCTAGTAGTATGCTGACGTATTTCCAGAAGAAATGCAAAGGCTTGGCGTCCTCAGGGGTGCCTGTGTTCTTGAATATGGATGAGGATGGAGGGGTTCATATTGGTCAGGATCGGGAGGATACACCTGCATATAGGGATCGACTTAGCACTGCATAACATGCGTTGCACACAGTGGGACCTTGAAACGGATGGGATACCACTGGACATCCAGGGGGATTCACTGCTAGTGATTAACTGGCTCTGTGGGAAATGGAAAGTATTAGCTCAGGTATAGCAGAAAAGGGTGGACACTCTGATAAATAAGTTGGACGAGATGCAGGAGACTTCCTCGGTGAGGCCTCCAGAGGCTGGCCGTGACTTCTTCTTTCATTCTTTTCGGGAATGGAACCAGAGGGCTGACTTACTGACCCGTCAGGCCCGTCAGGGCCATGTGTACGCCGATTTCTTTTACCTCAGTGATTTCGAATCTCAGTGTTATTTTCCTTGCCTTATTAGAGCTGGCTTTGATGGGGGTGTTCGTAGCCGCGGAAGTGCCTGTGGCGTGTGGATACAGATAGGTCTGCGTAACAAGTATATCTTCTCGCGGACCGACATCACTTTCAAAGATGTGTATCTTGCGGCTTGGTGTCTGCCACCAAGTGCCACGGTCACAGATGCGGAGTTATCAGCGGCGGAGCGCATATGTGATGTGCTCCCACAGGTTGTACAGACCTTCCTGAATCATTCGCAGTGATAAGTCGCACATTGCTTCATCTCATATGTTGTCTTCTTGTATACTCTTACAGCTTCGCTGTTTATTTGTTCTTCGCTTGTCATTTGTGTGCTTTGCGATTGATTGTGTCATTGCAGGCTTTTGATTCTCTTTTTTCCAACAGCTTCGCTGATGTGAAATAAGAGCTGACTGCTTGCGTGATGAATAAGAGGCTCTGATTCGCCTGAGACTTCGTTGGACCTGGCCTCAGTGGCCAAGACGGTCCCAGCAAAGACGCAAAAAACTTAGTTGACGGTTTACCCAGCTTCCACTGTTTTCTGGAGAGCTCGACGAGAGCTATAGAGTATCTCGCAGAGCTCTTCGGCATCGATGAGCTAGAGGAATTCCCGCGCAGGGTGCAGCTAGTACCTCGTAGAGCTCTTCGGCAGCGATGAGCTAGAGGAATTCCAGCGCGGGGTGAAGCTAGCACCTCGTAGAGCTCTCCGGCATCGATGAGCTAGAGGATTCCGGCGCGGGCTGGAGCTAGTACCTCGTAGAGAGAGCTCTTCGGCATGGATGAGCTAGAGGAATTCCGGCGCGGGGTGCAGCCAGTTGGCTCACCCGGCCCGGACGGACAATGTGGGAACTTTGGGTCGGTTGGGCTACGATTCTGCGAGATTTGAACATTCGTCTGAGGTCTATAGCTGCAGTGACTCGTAGAGCTTCCCGAAGAGCGTTAGCGGCGAAGCTAGAGGAGTAATTCCGGCGCGCTGGGAGGCTAGTTGGCAAGAAAGTATCGACGGAAGTTTTGTCTTTTTTGACCTGTTTGAATCCGATTTCCCGAAATTTGAACATTCGGTAGAGCTCTAGTATTTTTCCACCCATATTCGATCTTATTCCCGCTCGCCATCTTAACCTCAGCTCGATCGGGTACCTATTACTGCCAAAAAGCATGTGGGCGGGATCGGCTGTTTCGGGACATCCTGGCAGATGCTGTCGGTTTTCTGTACTTAACTCGAGCTGTAGGATAGCTACAGAGCTGGCAGGCACACCTAATCGATCTAGAATCGTCTGGCGCGTAAGTCTTAAGCATCTAGACGCCTGAACTCGGTCTGCTACTAGAGCTAGCTCCGCGAAGCTATTCGTAATCTTTTTTTGTAGGGAGATGATAATGCGTTTCTTGACTTAACTCGAGCTGCAGAAGAGCTGCATAGCTGTTCGGCGCAGCAATCGGCAGGAAATCATCAGGCGCGCTAGTTTAAAGTATCTAGACGCCTGATCTCGGTCTGCTATCCTGGTTGGGTCCGAACAACTATTCGCACTCTGTTTATTTTTTGGAGATGGTGACGGAGCTGCAGATGAGCTACAGAGCTCACAGCAATCGGAAGGAAAGCAGCAGGCGCGCTAGCTCAAAGTTTCTGGACGCCTAAACTCGGTCTGCTATCGGAGCAGGGTCCGACAAAAACTATTCGGATTCTGCGATTTTTTAGAGATGGTCATGGTTTTCCGGACTAAACTGGAGCTGCAGACGAGCTAGAGAATTCTTCGGCACAGCAATCAGATGGAAATCATCAGGCGCGCTAGTCTAAAGTATCTAGACGCCTGAATTCGGTCTGTTGTCAGAGCTGGGTTGGAACAGCTATCCGTACCCTGCTAACTGTTTAGAGATGGTGCTGGTTTTCTGGACTTAACTCGAGCTGGAGATGCGTTACATAGCCGATTGTTACATGAGTCGAAAGGAAATCAGAAGAGCCAGTCTAAGGTATCTAGACGCATGAATAGGGTCTGCTACCAGAGCTGAGCTGGGTCAGAAAACTATTCGTATTCTGCTAAATCTCAGACATATGATGGTAACTTTCAACCCGAGCTGCATAAGAGCTACAGAGCTGTTTGGCACAGAACCGGGATGAACTTATCAGACGCGCTAGTTGTATCCAAATGCCCGAACTCGTCGCGCTTTCAGAGTTGGAACCAGAAAACTATTCGTACTCTATAATCTGTTCCATAGATGCTTTCTCCTCACTCCTTCTTCTCCTCCACGTCCTCCTCCATGAGAGCGCGCCCTCGCGCGCGCCACAGGTGCTTGGGCCAAAACGTCGAGATTTTGAAAAGATCGACGAACATGTTGTCAAAGGGGCCCTCCGAGATACTGCGCGGATTTCGGTGAAGGAGAAGATGTTGTGGGTCCGTCCTTTCAGTACAAACACACATGAGAAACGCATTGTTTTGGTGGGAAAGTGCTATCGCTGCCAAGACTGTTACGGCAGCTATGCATTTTCGTGTTCAACTACTACGACGATGCTTGTGGAGACTGGAACTTGCTCAGGAGAGCCCAACAACAAGCGTGCGCATATATGGAATCTGCTTCAACAGTCAGATCGATGACGGCAGACATAGCCGTGGCGCATTTGCGAGCGCAAAAAAAAGACCTTACGATTTTTGGCCTGATGCTCTACATATTCACAACCAAAGGGTTCGGAACCGATACAAAGTCAGTAATGTGCCAAGTGCAGTTGCAGAGTGCGAGTAGTTGTTCGGTCGCCTCCTGGTCTCAGGCACCTCGAGGTTTTGGACCACTGCTTCCGATGCTGCTGAATTCATCGAAATATTGTGATGAAGTCCGTAAACCAAAACGCTTGCCAACAGGAAATATTGCGAAGCCGATCTCTGGCCTCTCGATGCTCTAGACCAATGCTGTCGATGCTGCTGAATCGAATGGTGGGGCTAAGAGAGTTGTAGCTGTCCTCAATGTCGAGATCAAGTCCATGAACCGACCGCGTACCACGAACGAAAATTGAAGAGTGCACATACTTTTCTGGTGGTAGCTCGAGTAGAAGACCGATCCCAGGCCTCACGACGCCATAAATCAACGCTTTCGAGAGTTTGTTCAATTGGTTGATGTGACTTAGAGAACCTCGAGATCGAATCCGTTAGCCGAACGTGAACACAAAAGAGTTGTTGCAGCGTGCGAGTAGTTTTTCTGTCACAGCTCACATAGGAGACCGAGCTCAGACCTCTCCAGGCACTCAGCCAATGCTTTAGATGCTGCTGAATCGATTGCTGTGACTGAGAACTTTGTTAACTCTCGGGATCGCATCTGTAACCGAGCGAACGTTAAACATGTGGTCTCAGTGCGAGTTGCCGCCTCGTCAGTTCCCCTCCCCTTCAAGATGCCCCGATCGACCTGAGATCGAGATGGCGATCAGGAGTAATATGCCCGGACGATTACACCTACCCAAAATGAAGTCTAACATCTTCCTTTTTTTTTCTACCACGAAGATGTCGTAAATTTGTCCGTCGGTATTTTTCGGGCCAAGTTGCGGGCTCCAGTTGTGGAGTCCGAAACCCGGAGAGCACGGCTCCCGAAGGGCGTGGAAAGTCTTGTCGAAGAACCTTGGAAGGACTTGGAGAGCTTCTGAAAAACCTTCTGGACAGTTTCTTGAGGACACGCTGGGATCTCCAGCAGCCTGCTCCAGGTTTCTTGACGGATGCCGGACTGGCTGCCCTGCGGCTCCGGCTTCTTTATCTGAAATCCTCCCAGCTCACAGAGAGCCATCTGGGAAAACGCGGATAGCGAGGCGCCCGAAGGGCGTGGAAAGGCTCGGAGAAGAATCTGCAAGGACCTGGAGAGAGGTTCCGAAAGACATTCTGGAGAGCTTCCAGGCACGCGTATTGGGAAACGCTGAGAAAAGACCTCTCGGGACGCGTAAAAGCTCGCAGGAGCCGCGCCAGGAAGTCCTACCCGCCGCCGAAACGAGCTCCACGACTACCTTGCGGCTCCGGCTTCTTAATCTGGAACTCTCCTCGCTCTCTGCGATCAATCCAGGAACTGACCAAGAAGTGATCCCGTCCTTGCGGGGTCTCAAACCCGGATGCGACGTCTGAAGGCTTGAGAAATGCATGGCGTGGCAAAGAACTCCGGAAGGATCTGGAGAGAACTTCCGAAGGACCTTCTGGGGAGCTTCCGGGCGCGCGCATTGGGAAACGCTTGGAAAAGGATTTTCGGGACACGCTGCAGGGTCAAGCACGGCGCGCCGAGGTGTCCTGCCAGAAGCCTGAAAGATCTTGTGGCTCCCAAACTCCGGATAGCGGCGCGATCCAAATCTCGGGGCATTCTTGGAAGAGACGCACGCAAGGGTATTGGAAACCGTAACATGTATACTGGAAAGCAGAATCTGTGCTTTGGGAACATGCTTCAGCAGATGGCGACGCACCAGGACGATGTCGGAACAATGGGTATTACATGTATTACTGTATTGCACGGGAGTTGGATAACTATTTTCATAACGGAATGCAGCGTAGGCCGAAACTACCGCGAAACGCGACCATAGCACATCGGCTTCCCCCTGCAACAAGGACGGGGCGGCAAGAGGAGGATGACATGGTGACGGGGACGAGTAGGAGGTGGAAGAGGACTCATTGTGTCTTGGCCATCATAAGTATGGTATTATAGCTCATGCTATTGGGGAAAATTAGTTTGGGAAACGTTTGCGAGTGGGTGTGTCCTGACGTACTTGCAGCGCAGGGCATGCGTAAGGCTGGTGGTTGTGTGTGTGTATAGATGTATGTCATAGCATTCAAGACGCTCATCTTGCTTGTCTTTTTTTGTCTCGTGGTCTGAGCTGATACTAGCTTAGAGTTTTGGGACACCTGGTGTGTGCACACCCCGCGAGAGTTTTCGACGGACAGTTGCGTGCCCTGGCCGCGTAAGTCTGGCGTCCGAATCAAACAATGTTTTTTTGTTTTCTCCTTGATTTTTCTCCCAGCCTGAATTCCTCCACCTCCTTTCAGTATCGTGCAACCGCAGAGCATTGAGTCGCACGGATGGTGCAAGTTGTTTTGACGTGGCAGTCCCATTGTGCATACGCTGTTCATTTGCTGGGTGTGAGGGGGGCAGAAGGGTCGGACGTGTGCGAGCCGAGCATGAACACCATTAACCTTTGTGTGGCGAAGAGGGGGGGAGTATGAAGGCGGAAACAAAGGGGGAGCAGAGGGAGGGGTACACCGGGCGGCTGGGGGGAGTGGGAAAAGGGGCATCGGGTTGCCAGAGAGGGCGAGGCGGGGTGCACACATCTGCGGATGGTCGTGCTCAGGAGGGACATCTTGCGCGAACCCTTTCTCCCCCCCCCTGGCGATGGGTTGGGCGCTGTCGCCAGGTGCAGCAGAATTCGGGGGACCCGTGCGCGCACGCGCCCCGTCCCTGCCGCCCGTGGCGGCCGCTGCTCCTCCCATGGGCGAAGCGGGGCCCAGTGCCGCGGACCTGGAGGAACGAGCTCAGGAGGAAGGGGACGAGGTGGAGATGGGGGAGGAGGAGGAGGAGGAGGAGGAGGAGGAGGAGGAGGAGGAGGAGGAGGAGGAGGAGGAGGACGAGGAGGAGCAGGAAGAGGATACGAGGGCATAATCCCTGTCAGGTTGTTTTTCTGTCGCCCTCGCCCTTTCGGCCGTCGCGTTGCTGAATCGATGCTTCATCAAAGGGCTCCCTTGGCCTGCGTACACTTGCATCGCGCTTTTATGCTCGTGCTTTTCTGTTATGTGGCCCCCTTGACGGTATGGCACTGGGGATGGCTAACAACTTCAAGCAGCATCATTCTTGGCAAACTTGTGCACCTTGTGTCGCTTGTGCATGCTGTGCTCATCGCTGCGTCGTACTCTTCTTGTACTCGCTCTCCTGTCCAATATGGTGTTCGACAGTAAAGTTGGCTTAGCTGCAGCTTCTTGTCGTTCGAATCAGAGTGGACACATGTGCACGTCAGGGCCATTTTTGGTGCTGCCTTGACCTGTACGTAGCGCACAGGCACATCTTTATATTCTCGAGCAGATGACCGCGCACATATATATATATATATATATATATATATATAGATATATCTATATGTATGCATATCTTTATATTGGGTGTACTATACCTCATTATTGTGCGTATCTTCTCATGGCTCGTATCCGGTCGACTCGCATTACTCTGTGTTCTTAGTGAGGTGTCTGCGTCTTTGCGGAGTTCTTTTTCGCAAGACAGCACATGTCTCGATGTTGGCACTCGTCCCTCGTCTGATGTACATTGACGTGATTTGTACACAGAGATCCGGCATGGTTGTCGTGCGTCGCATCCTAGGGAGTCTTGATCTTCAGGATCTTGCGCCAGCAAGTGCCGCAGTTCTGAAAATTGCCCTAGCCAGGGAAGTAGTAGAGCGTTGATCATTTCGTTCCAGCTGCGGGTGAGGATCCATACCTCCGGCGCCAGTGCTGTCCGGTTCCGGAGTCTTCCGATTGCAGCCATGGGCATTTCTTCAGTTTTTTGTTTTTGTTTTTGGTTTTTCCCTGGGGATTTGGGAGCCCGAAGCGGGCTTCCGGAGGCCGAAGTCGAGAGAACCCGCTGAAACTGAAGAGCTCACGGGGTCGGAGAGCTCACGGGGTCGGAGGTCGTGGTCGTTGGTGCACCAGATAAGGAATGGGCCTGACAACGGATGGGCCCCGCGAATTTTGATCTCACGACGGGTCTGCAGGGTCCCGGGGCACCTCACGGAGCGCGGAGTCGACGACAGATGTTTGCCTCAGATTTCTTGTAGACAGCTGTCTATATGGAGTCGGCAGAAGGCAGCTGCACACCACCACCATGCCCAGCCAGAGCCATAATGGGCCTCAGGATGGTGCATACGTATGCCCTCCTAGTTGGGGCCCAGGATGTCCCTGGCCAGCCATGGTGATTGTGCACGGGTGCCTGCCTTCTGCGTACCTCGGCGGCGAGCGAGGGGGGAAGTGAGAAGGAGAAGGAGAAGGCCTCCTCAGAAGGTTCGGTTCGGAAGTATCCCTGCCTGCTGAGAAGTTTCGGAAGCCCGACGACACGGAAAACCTCTTAGAAGGCCAGAGGCCTTCTGAGAAACCCTGTCGCCTTTTTAGTAGGCCTGATCCTTCTCATTTCCCCCCCTCGCTCGCCCCCGAGTACCATCCTCCGCCCACAGAATCACCTCCCAGACCAGTCCCCGCGCGTGTTTTGGCCAGACTTTCGAGGCAGATCTGGCCGCGGCAGCGAGGGCGTTCCCGGAGGCCCGCACAGATTGCTGGAGAGGTCGACCGCTTCGCACCCCTCGAGCTTAGAACCACGAAGGCGTTCTGCGTACAGTGGAGACCCATGGCAAGAAACATCCTGCTTGCCTCCAGGGTGCCCTGGGTTTCTTGGGTCTCGATGGTTGTGCCACGGGAAGCGTGCCGTTCCCGCACCAACACAGATCTGTGGACGTCCTGGGGTCTTAGGGGTTGGGATTCCCGTGGAAGGTTTCTCGTGGTCGAGCCCCTTCCGCGCATCGCCGTGCCTCCTTCCTGCGAGGACGCCCTGGCTGGGCTCCGCAAGGGATGGGAGCGGCTGGCCATCCGAGGCCCTCGCGCGCGGGCGTCCCCGCGGCTGCCCGTCGCCACGGCTCGGCTGGCCCTGCCGGGTCCGTCCTCGCCTGTGCCTCATGCTCGGCCTCCCCGTCGGATGTTTTTTGGGCGCTCAGGTCTTGCTTCTAGTACCCGCTGGGCTCACGAATCAAAGTTGCTACTCCTTCATTTCCTCCTCCTCTTCCTCCTCCTCTTCCTCCTCCTCCTCCTCCTCTTCTTCCTCCTTCATCTCCTCCATCTCCTCCATCTCCTCCTCCTCCTCCTCCTCCTCCTCCTCCTCCTCCACTAGCTCTGTTCAGCCAGCGAGGCGATTCACCCGCCTCCGCTTGCGAATGTTCAAGTCTGATTTTCTGCCTACGCACTGGACGGCACTTGGCTTGTGAGTGTTTGAGGAGTTTGAGGTTCGAGAATTTGGGGCTTTTTCTCGGGTGGGGCCGACAGACGTTTTCTCGTCTGCCCCCTTCCTCTTCTCTGGCTTCTTCTACTTTCCCCTGCTCATCCTCCCCTGCCTATTCGTCCATCGGCAAAGGCTGCCAGGGTTGGCGCTGACAGCGGGTTTGGCGCGCTTTGGAGTTCGGGGGATTTTGTTGTTTCAGCTATCCAGGTTGTTTTCGTCGCCACGGCTTGATCCGCATTCGTCGGACTTCTGGTTGGAGCGCACCCCAGGACAGGTCCGGGGATGGATTTTTCTGAGCCCCAGAGGACCATGACCGCAAACCGATGATGGTGAAATTATGAAGACGGATTCTTGTTTGCTGTTTTCGGCATTCGGGGGCCGTTGCTTGACCCTGACTCCTTCCCAGTCGTGACCCCTTCCAGGTCCCCAGGAAGGGGCCAGAATGCCCAGGGAACACGTGATGCGAAAAGTGAACTTTGGAGGTTCGGTTCCTCTTTGGGCTCGACTTTGCGCTGCAGGCCCCAGGGCGTCGGTCTTGATTCCGGGGCAGTGATAGGGGGGAGACACTTGCCCAGGGGAAGAGGTATCTAGCCTTCAGTCGGGCCTTTCCCTTCTACAGGGGGAAACTTTCAAAATAGTCAAACAATAGTCTGGGCACGATGTTTGGAGCATTCTTGAGCATTTTTTTTGTTGTTTTTTTATTATAATTGTTTTTTTGATTTTGTGGGTCTTTTGATTTTTCGTCCAGCATCCCCCTGTAGGGGGGACAGGCCAGACCTAACGAGAGGAGGAAGACGCTCGCCCAGGGGAAGAGGTATCCAGCCCTAAGTCGGGCCTTTCCCTCCACGGGGAAAACTCAAAACTAGTCAAACAATAGCCAGGGGAGTTTTTTTTTGTTGTTCCCTCTTTTCTTTGTTTTTGTTTTTATTTTCTTTTTTTCTCTCTTTTTGTTCCTTCTTCTTCTAGTTATGTATATAGATGTCTATACATATATATGAAAAAATATTGTTGTTGTTGTTGTTGTTGTTGTTGTTGTTGTTGTTGTTGTTGTTGTTGTTGTTGTTGTGATTGTTGACATTTTTCCCAACCCTCCTGCGTTGGGTACTCGTTTTGAATAGAGCACTGCGGTCTCCACCTTCCTTCCTTCCTTCCTTCCTTCCTTCCTTCCTTCCCGCCTCCTCTCTTCGCTCCTCCTCTTCTCTTCTCTTGCCTTTCACGTCACCCCTGGCGGGCTGCGATCTGCGGAACTGTCACCACTTTCGAGGGCTGCTGGTGGGTCCAGCGGAGTGAGGCACCACGGGGACTCAGATTAGACCTCGCCATCCCTGGGGGGGGGGCTGCGATCTGTGAAACTGTCGCCACTTTCGAGGGCTGCTGGTGGGTCCAGCGGAGTGAGGCACCACGGGGACTCAGATTAGACCTCGCCATCTCTGGGGGGGGGCTGCGATCTGTGAAACTGTCGCCACTTTCGAGGGCTGCTGGTGGGTCCAGCGGAGTGAGGCACCACGGGGACTCAGATTAGACCTCGCCATCTCTGGGGGGCTGCGATCTGTGAAACTGTCGCCACTTTCGAGGGCTGCTGGTGGGTCCAGCGGAGTGAGGCACCACGGGGACTCAGATTAGACCTCGCCATCTCTGGGGGGCTGCGATCTGTGAAACTGTCGCCACTTTCGAGGGTTGCTGGTGGGTCCAGCGGAGTGAGGCACCACGGGGACTCAGATTAGACCTCGCCACCCCTGGGCGGCTGCGATCTGTGAAACTGTCGCCACTTTCGAGGGCTGCTGGTGGGTGGCCAGCGGAGTGAGGCACCACGGGGACTCAGATTCTGACCACGAGCAATGCTCGCGTGCCCTTGCTCTGCGGTTCGTGCCACGTGGCGCTGCGACTCGAGCTGGCGGTCGTCCTTCGGACCCGCAGAAACATCTGCTGAGCTCGATGAGCTAGGGGAACTACAGGAAAGAAGTGCAGGAAACGGAGGCCGGTCATGCACTCGCCGATACCTCGTTGCTCTGTCATCGTCTTTGCTGTTGCATGATCCTTATCTGGCCTGCCGGCGCCGCGGCTCGAGCTGGCGGTCGCCCTTCGGGCCCGCGGGAACATCTTCTGAGACAAGTGGACGCCGCCGCCTTACTTGCAGGCAGCGCATTGCATTCGCGGACAGCAGCATGGCAGACCGCAGTGAGATCCTCAGTCGCGTGGTGTTGCCAAGCCTGGTGGAGACGCGCGTGATCGACCTGAAGTCCCAATCGCGCGTGCACTGTACCTGCGTGGCGTTCAGGCACGCGCGTGATGCTGCTCGCTCCGCGTTCAACCAGTACGTCGCCAGTGCAACTTTGGACGATGGACAACCGATTGATGATACGCGACCCCGGCCTTGAGTTTCTTTCCCGCGGGCCGCCCGCAGACCTGGCGGCGCGCCTGCGAGCGTTCAGCTCCCGCGCTGAAATGTGCGGGAAGGAGGCGGAGAAGCTAGCGGGCGAGCTACGCCTCGCTCGTTCCTTGCATTCTAAACGAGTTTTATCATGTGGAACTCTGCGACGACATGGCGCAGGCAGCGCTGCGGGTTTAGCTCGCGCTTGAAAAACGCGGCAGTCTTCTGTCTCCTCCCGCCACTTTCATCGTCGTCCTATTCCCCGCCTCACCATCTCCATGCATGCTGCTGCTTCCGCGATGGCCTTTCGCCCCCCCCCGCCCTCCATTCCATCCCTCTCCTACCCCTCGTTCCCGTGCCCGTTCTTCTTCGATCCTGGGGCCTCAAGCCTCGTTCTTCCGATCGTCGTCCTGTGAATCGCGCAGCGCATGCGCATCCCATGTAGCTTGCACAGCAAATCGCCGCGTCTACACTGTCGTTGTTTCTGTTAATAGAGGCATACTCCTCTTGCCATTAGATGCACGTGGGTTGGGTACGTCGCAGGGTAATTTGTTGCTGTTGCTGTTGTTGTGGTTGTTGTTGTTGTTGTGGTTGTTGTTTTGTTGTGTTGTTGTTGTTGTTGTTGTCGTTGTCGTTGTCGTTGTCGTTGTTGTTGTCGTTGTCGTTGTCGTTGTCGTTGTTGTTGTTGTTGTTGTTGTTGTTGTTGTTGTTCTTGTTTCTTGTTTTTTTGTTGTTGTTGCTGTTGTTGTTGTTGTTGTTGTTGTTGTTGTTGTTGTTGTTGTTGTTGTTGTTGTTGTTGTTGTTGTTGTTGTTTGTTGAACTGTTTTTTCGTCCAACATCCCCCTGTCGGTGGGACATGCCAGACATAACGATAGTTGGGAAGCGCTCGCCCAGGGGGGAAGAGGTACCCAGCCTTCATTCGGGCCTTTCCCTCTACAGGGGAAAACTCAACAATAGTCACACCATAGCTTGGGTACGATTTTTGGAGCATTCTTGAGCCTTTTTTGGGGGGATTTGTTTTGGTTATTTTTGATGTTTCGTCCAGTATCCCCTTGTAGGGGGGACAGGCCAGACAGACCTAACGATAGGAGGAAAACACTCGCCCAGGGGAAGAGGTACCCAGCCCCAGCCCGCCCGTGCCTCGCCGATCGGGGCCGGGGTGCCCCCCTTGGCCCAGGAACCGCGGGCTGTCGCCACGAGGAGGGGGCCTGTCGCCGATCTGTCGGCGACGCGTCGCCGACTGCAGGTCACCGCTCCCCCTCCAGAGCCAGCTCCCCCTCCAGTCATGCCAAAATCACGACAGAGGTTTTTCCCCACATCCTAAGTGGGGTTCTTGTTTTCTCTGGACACCATCCGCGCAGGATCTCCTCACCCCCCTCTCTCTCTTTCTCTCTCTTTCTTTTCCTTTCTCTGGCCGTCATCATCATCAGTCATCATCACTCATCATCATCATCATCATCATCATCATCATCCTGATCATCACTACCATCATCACCCCCGTACCCGTTCACTCACCATCATCATCATCATCACCACCCATCGTCACTACTCATCATCATCATCATCATCTTCATCGTCACCATCATCATAATCTTCACACTCATTCACACTCACACCATTATAATCCTCATCAACAACAACATCATCATACTTCGATCAATCATCATCCTTACCATCCTCATCCTCAACATCATCATCATTCTGTCAGTCATCATCATCATCATCATCATCATCAGCATCATCATCATCACACTCATCATCATCAGCATCATCCTCAGCACCACTCGCTCACTCATCACTTCGTCATCGCTCACTCCCTAGTCTGAATATGGAGGACGCCTAGAGCGGGAGCCTCGTCTGTGAATGAATTGTGAGGAAGTCTCAGGCGGGACCCCCTTCCATATGGGTCCCCGCAATTCATGTTGGTACTCCGAGCGGGTCATCCTCAAACCTGTAATTGTCGTCACTTTTGGGCTCCTGAGGTTTGAATTTGGAGGAAGTACCAAGCGGGAGCCTCGTCTGTGGGTGAATTCTGAGGAAGTCTCAGGCGGGACCCCCCTCTCCCCTATGGGGCCCGCACTTCATGTTGGTAATCCGAGCGGGGCATCCAAAACGTGTAACTGTCGTCACTTTCGGGCTCCTGAGGCCTGAACATGGAGGAAGTATCAGGCGGAATCCACGTCTGTGAGTGACTTGCGAGGAAGTCTCAGGCGGGAACCTCTTCCCCATGGTGCCGGCACTTCATGTTGGTCATCCGAGCGGGTCATCCTCAAACCTGTAATTGTCACTTTTGGGTTCCTGAAGCTTGAATCTGGGGGAAGTATCAGGCGGGAGCCTCGTCCGTAAGTGAATTGCGAGGAAGTCTCAGGCGGGAGCCCCCTCCCTATGGGGCCCCCACTTCATGTTGGTAATCCGAGCGGGTCATCCTCGAACCTGTAACTGTCGTCACTTTCGGGCTCCTGAGGCCAGAATATGGAGGAAATCTTAGGCGGGAGCCTTGTCTGTGAGTGAATTGCGAGGAAGTCTCAGGCGGGAGCACCCTCTCCCTATGGGGGCCGCACTTCATGTTCGACTCCGAGGCGGGTCATCCTCAAAACTGTAACTGTCGTCACTGTCGGGCTCCTGAGGCTTGAATATGGGGGAAGTATCTGGCGGGAGCCTTGTCTGTAAGTGACTTGCGAGGAAGTCTCAGGCGGGAGCCCCCTCCCTATGGGGCCCGCACTTCATGTTCGAATCCGAGGCGGGTCATCGGATTCTTGTAACTGTCGTCACTTTTGGGCTCTTCAGGCCTGACTGTGGAGGAAGTATTAAGCGGGAGCCTCGTCTGTGAGTGAGTGGCGAGGAAGTCTCAGGCGGGAGCCTCTCCCTATGGGTCCCGCACTTCATGTTCATGTTGGTAATCCGAGCGGCTCATCCGAGCGAGCTTTTTGGGCTCCTCAGCTCCTGCGGCATGAATACGAGGGAAGTGTCAGGCGGGAACTCTGTCTGTGAGCGAAGTGCGGGTAGCCTCGTCAGAGCTGATCGTCAGCAAATTTGCTGTTGTCTTGGGCCTGCGTACCCGACAACACGACGACGACGACGACGACGACGACGACGACGACGACGACGACGACGACGACGACGACGACGACGACGACGACGACGACGACGACGACGACGACGACGACGACGACGACGACGACGACGACGACGACGACGAACGACGACCACGACGACGACGACGACGACGAGGCAGCGGCCGGGCGCAGGGGTAGCCCCTTGTGTCCGGGCCGGGGGTGGTAATCCATCCTCGGCCGAATCGGGGGCAGGGGTGATCCCTTGCCTCCGGGCCGCCGGTGGTAACCCATCGGCGGCCGAATCGGGCGCAGGCGTAGCCCCTTGCGTCCGGGCTGGGGGGTGGTAACCCATCCTCGGCCGAATCAGGGGCAGGGGTGTCCCCTTGTCTCTGGGCGGGCGGTGGTAACCCATCGTCAGCCGAATCGAGCGGAAAATCGACTTGCTTCCCCTGACCGGGGGGAAGGGGAGGTGCACATGGAGAAAAGGCAGGAGGAGGATGAGGAGGGAAGGGGTAGGGGGAGGGCGATGAGGAGGAGGAGGAGGTGGAAAAGGAGGAGGAGGAGAAGGAGGAGGAGAAGGAGGGGGAGGGGGAGAAATAGAAGTAAAGAGGGCTGAGGAGAGGGCGAGAGGAGGGTGTTTGCCATGGCCAGGAGGAAAGGGATAAGGGCAAGCTAAACAGATTATCGTGTGGGGTCCTTCCGTCGGAGTAATTCTGTATTTTCGCCCTCTGGAGGCCCTTACCAGTCCTCGGGACCGTCAAAAAACGACCCAGGGTGAAAAGCCGGTCCCGGCGAGTAGGTCCGGACCTCTGGGGGTCGCGCCATGGAAAAAGTCATGAGGTCGGGGGTCTGGGGAGCCAGTCCCCCCTCATCGTTCCCCCCTCGTTGGCGGGGGGACTCTTTGTCGGTTGCGCTGCAGGGAGTTTCTCCTGACATCCAGCGGGGGCCTCTTGCACCTTGGCGCCGGCAAGCTCAACGAGCGCATCGTCGGAGTGTTGCATTCGAGATTTCGATCGCTTGCGCGACATGTATGCTTCTCTATATCCGCTTCGTGATATTCATTTTCTGATTCAACCTCCTTCCCGAGCAACTTCCCTGCCGCTCTTGCCACCGCAAGTGCTACTCATTATCTGGGGTGTCTAGCAGCCTGTCGATGGGCCGTGGGCTCACTGGCTTTGTAGACAGCACGTGGCAAAGTGTTCTATTCCGAAGGGACTACTCGTTAGGTTGTGTTTGCCGCAGCACTCCCTAGGTAACTCGCGCATGATCGTTCGTTTGCCTGGCGGCTTGTGAGGCAGCTCATGCTTGTGAGAAGCTTTGCGATTCGCCGAGGCGAGGTTTCTGGAAGCCTGCGGTTGTACAGTGTTGGTGCGTTGTATGAATGTCTCCAATCAGCGCGGACTGCATACCTCAGTTGATTCATGAGTGCGGTATCGTTCGATTGTGAAATTGGGGCCCAGCAGTGCCCAGCTGGCATCCTGCTAGATCGTAGACTGCGTTGAGAATGTGGGCGCAGAGTGGAAGTCGAAAAGGTGTCGTTCTACAATACCCAAGTGGAGACCAGGGGCCACATTGGGGAGGAGCAGGAGGTCGGTATCGGACCATGGGTGCTAAGCGTTTGCCATCGTTCGCGAACGGATATTTTACGGACAAGTGGATGCACTGACGTGGACTAACGACTCTCAGAGCAAACTGAGCCTGATGCTGTGCTGCTCGTTGCGAGCCACCACTCATCGAAACAGCCAGACCGTATACAATGAACGACGTCTGAAGTCCCACTGGGAAAAGTGGGCACGTGAACGTCGAGTGTAGCTAAGCGTGATGCCCCTGAACGTGCGCGCTTGAGTCCAGATCGCACGTCTGCTCAGGTGATCGTGAATTGCCGTCGGGCGCGTTCGCCAGCCCCCCTCTGGTCGGCTGTCAAAGCTGGCGGTCGCTACGTTGGTCGCTGGCTGTGGCAGTCAGGATAAGGCTGGTCTGCCTGCCAGATGCGCTGAAGTCGGTCGTTGCCAAAGGTGATCCTCGTCCACAGTGACACCAGCTTTCCCAGAGAGACCCAAATGGCCTCCAGAGCACCCCTTTGGAGGCCCAGAGACCTCCTGAGATCCAAAATCCCGCGACAGCTGGGGGCACCTTGGGCCAGCATCACGTCTGGCAACCTCCGACTAGGATGGCGAGTAGAGTGAGGACAAGGGAGCATGTAGTAGAACAAATGGATAATGACGGCGTTGTTGAAAGTCTGCCGTGCCAGGCCTCGGAACTGGAACTGCGGCGGGATCCAGCAGCAGTGCGGGCGCATCTGGACCCTCCGCGCGGACCCACTCGAAACGTTTGCGAGGCAATCCTTGTTCGTTCCGAGCTGTTTTCTTGCTACTTCTCTGTCCCGGCCAACACTTTCTTGTGATGTCTGTTGTCAGGGTTCTGCGATGGTGATGATCTTACCATCGCTTCAGAACAGGAGCGCAGATGAGTGCACGCCTTCGGCCCGATGTGCTGCCGCTGCACGATGATGCAGACCCGCGCGCCTCTGGCCCGATTTGTTGCAGCTGCACGATGATGAACACCCGCCTTCCATTGACGTGGGCGACGGCTCCTGCTTCTCATGCTGAAGAACCCATGGGCTTCAAACCGAGAGTCGCTTCTCGTGTTCCTCTCACCCCCCATGTCCGCTCCACCGTCCGAGCAGTCTGGACGCGCGGCCCTGCCCCCAGATGTTTCCGCGGGTGCCTGGCACACCCACTTTTTGGGCGGTGCGGAATATGTCGAGCATGCGCTGGTCGCTCCAAGTGCAGGGGGACGCCGTCTCGGGGCAGTTCTAATCGAAGTACAGTGAAGACCCACCCTGCTTGCCTCCAGAGTGCCCTTGGTTTCTTGGGTTTCGATGGCTTTGCTATGGAAGGCGTGACGTTCCCACACCAAAAGTCAACGGACGTTCTGGGGTCTCAGGGTTGGGTTTCTTGTGGAAGATTTCTTGTGGACAGGCCTCCACTGTAGTGCGTACCGATGAGTTTTTGACATGCCATGAGTTTTGCCGAGGGGGTTCTGTCTTGTTCCTGACGAGCCGGTTGGTGCAGGGCCTGCGAGGGCCAGGTCTCCTCGTAGCTTATGACCGGTCCTGGTCAATTGGTACCCTGGTCTTGGTTCCGTGCGCTGCCTTCCTTCAGTTCCTTGGCCTTGGTTTCTCGGCTGATTTGGCTTGGTTCCTTGGTTCCTCTGTCCTTCGCTCCTCGGTTGCTTGGTTTCTCGGTCTTGGTTCCTTGGTTCCCTGGTCTTGTTTT